GGGCTGGGATACTGCCAGGGCGCCTACACCTAGACAGGAGGACGATTAGGGTCCTCAACCAAAGCCTTTGGCTCAAAAGCCTAACCGCAAGGCAGCGGTGTTTGGCGGGAAATGCAAATGCATTACCATTTCTACGGAACAAGTCGCCACATGTTCCAACCCCCAACCTGGAGGGCCAGGAGACTGTGTTCGTCAGACCTCTAACCATTGACCAACCTGGTATGAGAGACTCTGTGAGTGTCGCGGGACACTCTCCAGTATAGCTCAATGGATCGCTGAGGTGCGCAAACCGTCACTTCACTTGAGAGAGGGATAACCATTTGGGCCACGTAACACACACACCTTAAACAGTTTTTCTCCTAAACCGCGAACAAAGCGCGGGGATGAAATTCCCGGGATCCTGAATCACGGGTAGTACACCGACTAACCTTGAAAACAAGTCTTCATAACGCTAGAACACGTATGGAAACAAGAACACAACAGCTTTTCCAAAAAATGGGACAAAAGGAACATTACAAAGGAATTGTCGTGGGAACTGCTAACATTGACAGAAGTCAAGTAGTTATTTCGTGTCGTTTTGTATAAGTTTACCGTTCGCTTGGAACTCGCCGTTGTATAAACTGCTTAAACCGCTAGAGAGTGACCTTTCATTGGTGGCATCTCTTCTGAGCTGATTTCACTCGAGGGGTCACGATGGCATCTGGATCGTTCAGATTGGACCTTTTCTCGTCGGTGAATGTCAATTTTCTTATTTCTGTTTACAACTGCAGCCATTCTCTGCTCTTTTCTGAATTAAATTCAAGTATGGAACCCTTTTAGAGTAGAAGCATATTTATGTGAAGATTTCTCCGCAAAAAAAACTTAAATCTCCTCACACTACCGATAATCTATGAGTAGCTCGGTGGAAGAATAAACTTCACCCGATGAGTGACACTTCCATCTGAGAAGTCGTTACTCGAGGAGCCAGTCAACACGTATGACCGCGTGATGTTGATCCCGTGATTGAAGTGTGAGCGGGGCTATATCCTGTCTAAATGCGAGTTAATCACACTGCCGATCAGCCGCTCGTGGCCGAACGGTTAAGTTAGCCTGATGATCGCGGTCTCGAGACTCTCCGTATTTTTGTGAGATACGCACTGCTGATGATTTTCAATAAGAATGAAACAGCTGTACAGCGCTTCCCGGCTTTTCAGCGTAGACTGGCTTTACTTACGGGACAAAATGTCCACCAAAAACCCAAATCTCCTCACTCTACCAGCATATTTATGTGCCGGTCAAGCATTTTTGATGTTTGTGTTGAGATTGGACTTTTTTGGGGTTGACCTGACCCTCGACCGTCCCGTTTCTCATACCTCTCCCTCCCGATTCCGCCTGGTCTTTTCAAGCCTGATAGACTGAAAGAAAGGTGTTTACTTCCGTCTTCCATTGATTCCACCTTGTGTGTAATGTCATCCTCCATCTTTGTTCGCCAGCATTTCTTATTTGGTCAAGCTCTGATGGTGGTGAACCATGCTACAACTGAGTCAAATAGATAATTATAGGTCAGTAGCATCTGTCGATAGTAAAAATCGATATCAGGACATAAATGATCCTTTTATGTGAAACTTAGCTTCCGAGAGAAATTTGGGCGAAGGAAACTGCACAATTTTGTTTGTGTCCTGACAGTGTTTCGCACAATCGCAACATGTTGAATGACATTTTTCGTGGGTTTTACTTGTAATCCCCAAAGTTTCTACGCATTCCGTGACTATCAGAACTTCAGAGAAGCTAAATAACTAATTTTGAGGAGGTGGAAGTACCCGGGATTGCAGTGCACGCACCGTATAGTGAAACCTTACTACTCTCAGTTGATAAGTAGTTAAAATTTTCTTCACTTTTAACCCGTGAGTTGATCGACATGGCAGCATCTATCTGAGTTGATGCTCGCATTCCGTGTGGTCTCTTGCTTCAGGCCTACTCCAGAAATAGGCCCAGCTGTCACCGGAAATCACTCCTAGACAGGACGAACGAATTTTCGCAGGAAACCTATTCACGCCGCCTTTATTTCCGCCCAACTGAAAAACGTTCGATATTGCAGCGTGGCCGTTACATCTCACACACCTCGTGACTTGAAAGTCCTTATTTGATCGCAATACAAATAACGCCAGACTATCCTCTGGAAAAGGATGGCATCTTCCCACTGAATAACTTCACTGACTCTTGCATTAAATAACGTTCAGTTATAACTTTTTGCGCTCGAACAGTTTAGTGTGTCACTTTTTACACAGATAAACTGGCGCGCTGTAATTTGAACCGTTTCGCATGAGAACGATCAGAAAACTCTCCTCTCTAAAATGGTCAAACGTGCATTTCGGCGACGTCATCGGTCTCAGGGTTTTCAGCAACCTTGTGAGTAATGTGTTCTGTCGAGAGAAAAAACCGCAACTACATTTAGACTGCAAGATAGGTGCAAATTCAGACATCACACTATCAATTGGAAATTAATATGGGCGATAATATTGATTACAGTTAGATCACCCATGCCAGACAGTTTTCCGAACCGCGAGCAATTCGTGTAAAACACAGCAGCCCTTACTGCGTTTCAGCAACACCACGAACGCTGGTTCTCGGTCAAAACTTGCTGTCCAGTGTTCCATGGCACGGCATTACGAAAGAGCTACCTTGCATGTCATGTGACTTTTACTATATGAACTGAATGTCTGAATGGTTATGCACCTGAAATACTGTCCTTTATAAGGTTGATGAAACTTCTTTTTTCTTTCTTGAGACTCTCTAGGCAAACTTACTGTCCGCGTTTCCATCAGTTTCATCCCTTCATCCGTTAAAATTTCGCAAATTAAGATGCGGCTCGGTGGCTACACATATCTGATGAACCCCGAAAAAGGCGAGCTGGTATCGAGCTGGCCGATAGTTTTCACCAACTTTATGAGCTGCGCTAAATGAAGAAAAATGTTTCGGCATTTTGAAACATGAGGACGCCTTCAATGCGTATCCGCCCAATTTCCGAACAAACTGAACACGCCTTCGCCTCCAAGGCTGGAACCAATGTGCCCATGGTACACAGTTTATAGTTGATAAATTGAATTGATCATAGAGGAAAATGTCGGCAACTCAGGTGGCGTAGATGGTCGTTGGCTTGTTCGCTGAGCTGGGCAATTTGATTGCAAACGTTTCATCACCAATCGAGGTGACATAATCAGTGCGTTATTGAGGAGCGAAGTTGTGCATAGTGGTGTGTTAGTGGTTGTGAATTAAGTAGTGTCACGTGTGTGTTAATGTACGTGCTGGTAGCCGGGTATGACCTTTGACCGCGATTAGTTGTTCGGCCGGGTGGTTCTATTGGTTGTTCTGTTATCCCGTGTCCTCATTCGCCGATGCCCACGTGATCTTTGAGCTTGGCGTCCCTCGCCGTCATAGTCTGGTCGATGTTGGAGTGACCTTTGTCCTTCCGAGTTCCGGCTTGTGACCTTTACTGATTTGACTCCGAGGAATTCCTTGTTTCTTTGTTTGTTAATCCATTATTCGGTCCTCCTTGAGTGTTCCGGTTGAGATCATCATCATCATCGACAGCATGACACGAGTGTTCGACACGGATGCCTCACTTTCGTAAACACTTTGTGAAACACATAATGGTCCCTTGAAAGAGTTCGCTATAATTTTTGGTTTATTCAAGCACTTTAAGTGAAGATCATCTATCACATTCACCACTTTTTGTCTGGTATGCAAGCGTTTGAGCTGTTTTTCGTGAATTTTCACCTCCCGTTTAGACGCATCTCCGGACCAAACACGTCTACGTCAACGAAGCGCAAAACCGGACCTTCTCATTCTTCCGGCGGCTGGCTCCAGTCGTCCACCGCTTTCGGCACCGGGTGCGGCGGCTGCTGCCGGAGTCTCAACAGTCGTGAAAACTGTGCGCGATCAACAGCAACGTTGGAAGGGTAATGTGGAAGTACAACGTGCTCGCGTGTTTAGCGATCACACCCTGCTTAATTGAGCGTTCATCGCATGCCACGCACCATTCTTCTGTTTAGATCTGCGTCTGTGATTTCCATTTTATATTCTACACTTCCACCTGAATTTTGACTGTTTATCGTAAGTCACTGCCGTGTTCCATCTTTGTTCGTGACATCTATTGTTTATCCCCGGGGGAATATCATGAGAACCACTTGTCTGTTTCTGCTTTCCAATATTTCTTCCTCGCCTCTATCGTTGATCTTTCTTCTTTCGACACTAAATCATGATAATCGTTCACCTGTAGTGCCCTTTCGGTGCGAAGCCTCCATGTTACTCAAGCTTAGACAGGAGCAGTTCAGACGCCCTGTTTGGGTTCGAACCATGAACCTTCTAGTCAGTAGGTTCGTGCTTCAACTACTGAAGCATCTCGAGATTCTTCGAACGAGAGTCGTGTAAGGGTTAGGGACGGAGTGTTTGTCGAAATGGTTGCTCCAAGAGCTCTACATTAGCCTCCCTGAACAAAAAAACGGATGGATCCTGGATTAGGTCATGAAGCCTTTAGGTGTTCAGCGCTTAACAGTAACTCATTGACGTTCCATTGGTCGCGTACGGACACCCGAGTACTATTAGGTGATAGCCCCCTGGCATGCAGTTTTTATATCTTTCACAAGTGAAACAACCGAGGTTTATTTCATCATCGCAACTTGTCCTGAAGTGATGCAAAAAAATTCGGCGGGAGTGTGCTCATGATCAGTTAAACTCAAAATCAAACGGCCAAGTCGGTTGGAGTTTTAGGGTAAGAAGGATTCTACGGTATACTGCACGGCTGCATGAACGTGCTCGTCGGGATCCACACCGCCCAATGGGGATTCGGTTGCGTTTGTGGAAGTTGCAGGTGACGCGGAGGAGGGGCGATGTGGTCCATCGCTCCAGAGGAACTATCACGAACGTCCTTCGCTACAGAGACCAGGAATGCTAGCAGGGATCTCGAATGAATTTCAGGTAGCCCAAGCATGGGGTCGCTAAGGCTCTCAGACATTGCACTTCAAAGTCCCGACTGATTTTGCAACGCAAACACAAAGCCGCCCGTACCTCTAAGAGAACCCAGTGCTGGCGATTGCCTATTGGCATGCTTATGGAGCCCACAGAAACCACATCAGGTACACCTCTGCCGTAAGGCTTTCGACGGCGTACTGGCGATGCCTATTGGCATGCTTACGGAACCCACAAAAACCACATCAGGTACACCTCTGTCGTAAGGCTTTCGACGGCCTGAACCACCTACCAAAGCTCCCGGTCAGTGGCCCCGTCCTCGTGAACTTCACTTACTGTTCTGCTGGGTAGTAACAGTCATTGTAGTCCCAACCGTACGGTATTGCATAGCTGGTGGTCACCTAGATCAGGTACATTAATTGGTAAGTTCTTGTCTTGATACGTAGTATGTTATGTGGACACAAGTGAAGTTTTTGTGGATTTAATGTAAAATTATTGTTGTTCTATACGTGCGCATGTCACCCTTATGTTTAAGTTTGTCCAATATGTATTTCAACCGTGTAGGAGGATAACTTCGAACTCACACGCCTTTCTCGGAGGTGGCGTCCATGAACGCATGCAATTTCCGTCTTTTGGTTGGGGCAGGAGATTCAACGGACAAGTACTTATAATTAAATGTTGATGAACTTTGACATCACTTTATCTGTAATCAGTTGCATACGTTTGAGCACATCACTCGTAAAATGCAACTGCGTGCGTCTCTCAGGAGAAACCGGTGTTTAGCCTCCAGAAATAATACTTGCCCAAAAGAGATTTGGGCTTCGGTGTCAAGGCTACCCACACCCTTGCACCTGCATGAATAACACTCTGTTTCCTTTCATTGTGAAGTTCTCAAGTGCGAACCGTCGTCCATGAGTAATGTTCATCCACGGAAGTATTGAAAAGGCTGTTTCGTCTGGTAAAAAATTCACCGGAGTAGCCTAGTTCACGTCGGTATTTATTAAAATTAAACTGAACCGAACACCCCTAGATTATGACAAATACTCACAGCATAAACGTAGTGTTGACAAGAGACGCAGCTTAATCCATTTATGGCCGTATTTTACGATGGTCCGCATTAACTGAACACATGACTAAAGATTAATTGATGAGCTAGCTCACTCGGCTGGTCGTTTTATCGTGTTCTAAGGGTCATTAAGACAGCCCAGTGGTCAGGGTTGTCCAAGATCAATAGCAAGGCTAGCAGTGGTCTGTAGGGCGTGTGTGGCTAAGGTCGTTTTATCGTTCAGTTGACACGCCACAGCTCTGACTTGGTTGTAGGGCACGGTAGTCCTTGTTTTTTGAATCATTTAAACAATGAGGTTCATCAGTTCTGCTGTTCGCCCAAACAGAGATCACAAGCTGACCGTGTATCACCACGAGGTGGCTATGAGCAGTTTAGTGCCCATGTTGGATGGCAGTGTTGTTTGCCCAACCGAAGGAGATTGGTGAGGCTCGATGACGGTTTTAGTCTATTCTTAGGTGCATGGTTAGTCACCTGGTGTCGTGTTTCTATGCATAAGACCCATAGGGGTAGGTCGGGCATTGAATGATCTGCGGCAGCATCACCTGACATCTCCTGTCCGAGTGAACTTTGTGTAACCTTTGACTTGTCTCCTGTCCCAGGCAGTAAAACGAAGAGGTGTCCCAGCCCTCAAGTTCGCATTCTGAAGGGGAGATACGGCCTGGGGTTCTCGCGACAAACGAGTGATAAGAGCCTCAATTTGGATGTCTCGCTCACAAAAAATGCCCAGGATAATTATTACCACTACAGATAAGTGAAGTTCATAGTCTGGCAAACCCCACCAAAATATCCCCTTGAATTGCTTCCATGGTGAGTCTCATGCAATGAAATACTGGATAAATTCACAATGTTGTAAGTAACCATGCATATTCTATTTCGACTTTCATACGTTTTCATCCTTGTGAAACTAGGCACGCTGATAATTATAAAAATTACTTTACGAAACATGAATTTGTCGTTTTGTACTCGGGGAAACCTCGGTAGTGTGAGGCGTTTAGTGGGTAGGAATTGCGTTTAAAGCGAGTCGAGTTTGACATCGGAAACAGCGTTTCGTAACCGAATTACAACTCGCAGGCGTTCCTCTGATCGTGTTCTGCGTAATACTGACCGGAGGACCATGCTTCTGCTCACATAATATGTGGCGGCCAATCATTCGAAGATATTCCCGTGGTAAGAAGACCCATAAGATTCCGATCGTGAACGAATGCGGACTTCAGGTGAAGCCGTATGTCGTCCTAATGATGTGCAACTCTATGGATCATCTTTGCTAGATGAATGAATTCTAATGTTCGCTTCTATCTCTGGTCGTCGCTCGCTGCCTCGAAAACAATCGTCTATCGGCTGGGCCAGCCGCGCCAAATGAGCATTCAAAACTTGTGAGACTTGAATGAGCGGGCAGTTTCCCTTCGTCAATGAGTTCAAGCAAAAACAGACCTCAAAGACAAAAACGCGCGTACTAGTTTATTCTGTAAATACACACGCAGGTACAAACTTCATCTTAGCTGGTGATCATTCTCGGAAAGAAAGCCCCGTGGAGACGAGATAACAAAGGCAACCGGAGGCCTGCATACCAATTCATAATTTGTCAGAATGAACCGTTGCGTGGAATAACCTTCGTTCGACGGTCGTCCATGCAACATCCAGTACCTAGTTCAAAGCACCATTTAAAGCTTTTCATGTGAGTGTTTGCACTGGCAAGCTTTCTGCTGCGCGCTGAGAACTTGCAGAGCAACGCTATGCCCTTTTTCACTTGTGCCTTTCAGGTGAATGGCGTCCTCATAAACGAGAGATTCCGTTGAGTCTCTAGTGAAAACATAATTGACTTGCAAATGATTATGTCTCTCGAAAACAGTCCAATTTGGGTTCAAGTAAAGCATAAGGTTGATGGAAACTCGGGGACTGCGCCTACCTGATGAGCCCCAAGAAGAGTGAAACCGGTCATGGGTTGTCGAAGAGTTTTCAGCAACCTTGTGAGTAGTTCCCCTTATGAAGGTTTACTGCGATACCTCGAATATCGTGCCAACGGCAACACGAGGCGGCCTATGTACATCACATTCACTTGTAGAACATCGTAGACGAGAGATTCAGTTGAGTCTCTTATGAAAACCAATCTGATTTGCAAACTTCATAGCCGGGTGATGGTGGTTGTACATCTTCTCAGATTGTGAATCATTCATGGTGGTAATCAACCCGCAGCGACAAAAGTGCAGTGTTATGCGAAATGCCGGAAAGCCCGGCTTTAAAATCCCCTTGGAGGTTCGTAAGTGGTTTACTGCTGCTGACTGCGAGTCTCGAACAAATAAGTATATGATGTTTTCACTAGGAACCACCCTCGTTCGTGGAAGGAAATCCGATCAAAATTTCACCCGTCATAAACAGCCACGTTCATGTAACCTGTTAATAAAGAATAACACCTAACTAATAGCCTTAGGCTTCCATCAGTCGGGAACTATTTTGCACACGGCCAAGTTAAGCAAGCTTTATGGGTCTGAGGTCATTGACCTTGTAATCTTCATAATTATGAAACAACTGTTCTATCAATTAACACCCCAGTCACTGACTTCTCCAGCACCTTCCTTCTAAATGGCAGGTTGCAGGTCCCAGCATCTTTGGGATTTGTAAGATGTGAAACGCCAATGATTTGCATCAGATACTAAAGGTTGACATTTGACTTCTCTCTGCGGAACGGAATTCACCGGTGAAAAATGTCGCTTTCTCATCAGGTCTAATGCGCAACCAACCATGAACCCATACGAATTCATGAAGTGGAACACATTTATTTAGTGCCTTAGACTTGTCGAAACGTACCTCAGTGATGTGGACGCAAATTTTGATTGGTGACTCTCAAATCCAACCAGTCGGGGGGCCACATCTGACTAACCGTCATCCAACGGTGAGCTCAAAATCGCAGTTGGGGACAATCAATCAAATCAGGAAGTGGGTTTAATTAATCTGCAAACGGACCACTTTTCAGTGACCATAAACTGGGTAGAGCGTGGCGGCAACCAATATCTCGTGGTTGCAGACCAAAATAAAGCTTTTTATGCCTCCAGTTACTGAATAAACGTTAACTCATCACGTGCTACTCTATGTCGCTTGTTTTAAGGCGCACCTCGATAGTCCGCCAATTCAAACTGGTTCAGTCTGGCGTCTGCTCTCGCTTTGGTTGGATACGCCGCTGGCTATTTGCACAGTAAGATTTCTCGAAATCTACGGCATTTTCAGACTTCCCACTTC